AGGTAAAGTCGGAATTTTAATGCTCTCACCCTCTAGGATTGTTCAATATCGAAAAAAGTATACCCCTATTTTTTTATTTTGAAATCAAAAAAAAATTATAGGTCGCTCAAAGCGCTCAAAGTTTTCCATGTATTTATTATGGTTACGGTGACCATCCGTCCTGTATTATACGGGACAGTCCTCTTTTTTGACCAATTGTCCTGGTAATTTCTTTATTTTATACGGGACGCCAAATGTTCTGTATTCCTTTTCACGCCTTGTATTTGTCCCGTATTCAGTGTTCGGCATTTCGATGCCTTAACAACCCATTAAAATGGCATGTCTATGAATCAGTTTTAAATGATGTTGGTATATGATTGTAATTTTCTCCATAAACAGTTATTAGTTTCTAATCTGAATGCCTGTGATTCGAATAGAAAAATGCATACGTGACCAAAATATAAATTAGGACTCGACATTTTAGTAACGTTTGGCTATTTTCATTTTGTTTATTTTATGTTTCTTATTTTTTTATGGAAGTAAGGCTTTTTTCCTAACAAAAACCATATAAAAAAAAATTCCGACTTTGTGCAAAAACTATAAAAATTAATTCTGCAAAGTTTCACCAAACTTTCAAACTTTTTGATCAGAATCTTTTGAAGGTTTGTAGCTCATTAAAATTCATTATAATAAGGTGCAAGTGCAATGTGTTCTGCTCATTTGCTTCTCTTTTAAAAATATTATCGAACATACTTCGTACGAAAAAAATGCGTAACACCGTAAAAAAAATATAAATCCAAAAATTAACGGTATATCCTAGCTACTTCGAACTTGCATTTTATTGTATTAAAATTTAAGGAATTTTTTGTACCAAATTTTGTGGAGAAAAAATCTCGAGAAAAATATCCTATAGGTTTGAGATGTCACTTTAAGGATGCTCTTTCAGCTCTAATACACTTACGATCATTGAAGAAGGTTTTAAGATCTGTTAGCTTGTGTGGAAAAAATAGCAAAATTATTTTTTGTCCCGTATTCGGCCCCCATAAATATGGTCACCGTATTTATAGGCGACATGCGTCTGACTCGCGAGTCATTTGTATACGTATTGATTCCCCTTCGACTAAACACAGTTGAATCATTCAGAGTCATGCCAGGAGTCATGTCGGTGTAACTAGCACATATTTATTTTCACAAACACATCCAAACCGACTCACGAGTCAGACGCACGGTGTATGGCACCTATAAAAATGTCTGTAAATAATCACTCCTTACTTGTAAACTACACGACAAGTATTTACTCGTACAGTAGATTTGGTTTCAGTTTTTTAATACTAGGTGTTTTCGCGTATTCTTTCAGCAGAAAACTCTCAGCAGCGAAATTCTAATGAATTTTTATCTGATCTCTCTCACAGAGAGAAATGTTAGCAAAAGTTCGCTAACACAAAACCAGCAACAACTTGCAAGTTTTTAGTACAGTTGATCGAAATTTTGTTTACATACAAAAGCATAAAACAGAAAACATGAAAACAATATAAGTTAAAAGTTTTCCTAAAGCAATTTGCTAATCAAACATGAGTAAATGAGTATTTGCTTTCTTCCGATACATTTGCAGTTCTAATAAGTTATTTCAAACTTAACAAGTAAGAAAGTCTAAGTTCGGGCGGAGCCGAACATTAAATACCCGGCGCAAGTATTAAATATATGTTTTTGACCTCTCCGATAGCTACAGCTACATGGTAAGCCGGAGTGAATCACTTTTGAGTATAATATCGTCCTTATATTTCAAAATATTGAAGTTTCAAGCATTTCTGAAATTAACCGTTATATGAAAGCGGCCGTAATTTTAGTCCCATTTCAATAATTTTTAAGGTTTTGCTTTTATGTGGCAAGCACAATAACCATACCGAGTTTGGTACAAATTGGTGGAACTGTTACCGAGATACATATATGTGATCATAAATGGGCGGTGCCACGCCCATTTTCCAAAATTTCATCATAAACGTATTTCTTGGTAAAGACTTGTTTGAATAAATTAGCTTTCATATTTACTGATTTATCGAAGGTTTCGTATTTCTCTAAATTACCGTTATATGGGATGCGGGCGCGGTTATTGTCCGATTTTAAAAATTTTAAATTGATATGCTGTACCAAGGCCAACAACTATGCCAAGTTTGGAAGAAATTGGTGCAGCGTTTACCAAGATATAACCATAAGTGGGCGTGGCTAAGCCCATTTTCCAAAAATTTATATTATTCTTATTTTCGTCTGAAAATTATTGTAAATATTAATTTTGAGTGAATTATCTTCAGTAGTTACTATTTTCGTATCGTATTTCTGGAAATTACCGTTATTTTGGAAGTGGGCGTGGTTACAGTCCGATTTCGCCCATTTTCAATACGGTCCGTCCTACGCACGAAAGAAGTGCACGACCTAAATCTCGTTAAGATATCTCACTTTTTACTCGAGTTATCGTGTGCACAGACGGACGGACCGACGGACAGACAGTCACCGCTTAATCGATTTCTCTTTTCATTCTGATCATTTATGTATACATTTGTCTATATCTATCTCGATTCGTTTTGCCTTTTACAGACAACCGTTATGTGAAGAAAGTTGTAATGCACAAGTGCGCTCGGGTATAAAAATCATAATAATAAACCTAAATCTAAATCGAAATCTAAAATAAATTTTCATATTTTCATAAATTGAAAACAGATGACTTTGATCAGCTGTTTTTCTTGCTGGCAAATGGCTGCTGTTAAACATTTTTCTGGCAGAAACTAGCAGCTTTTCATCAGAATGAAATGTCAATTTGGTCTCTCAGTTTCTCCTACAGAAAAATCTGATAGTTTTTTGATAACTATCAAATAACTATTGATAGTTATCAAAAACTATCA